GTTGTGGGCTGCGGCTACGGCCCTAGGGGGGTTACGAGGGGAGGACATAGGGGCTGGTGACACTGTGTCCTGCTCGCAGCGCTGTTGGTCCCAGCATTCAAAATACAGAACTCTCAGAAATCAGGTCTTACACAGGCCATTTGGGCAGGCGAGCGGGAGTTATATGCCTTTGGGATTTGAGGTCTTACTCTTCCCCCTTTTGTGTTTGTTTCTTTTTCTCCTGGAAAACTACAAATGACCAGGAGAAAAAGTCATTTTGTATGCAAACTGGGGCTGCTGCATCATCCCATGACCTCAGTAGCAGGTTTCAGGAAAACACAGAGTGGAACAAGGTTTTTGAGGAAAGTGCAGCTGCCAGCAACGCAGGAAACTTTTCTCGGAAGAATTACGGCCGAAGCCTACCACGTCCCTGGAAAGCCGGGGGCTGTGCAGTTCTGGTCCTGGCTCTCTTCCATCTTGGACAAATGCGCCCTGCGGCCTCCCTGTGCAGACCTTCGCTTTGTCCTGCATTTGTTATTTAGGAACACTGCCACTAAAAAATTGCCCCAGTTCACCCCAGAGGCAGCTGCAAGTCTGTGCTGGGTGGAGTGATGGCTGAGTTAATGTTTGCCAGACCTGCAGAGGTCATTGGGGATGTGACCTCCAAAGGGACTTCAGGCAGTTTCTGCTCTGGACTGTGTTAGGTTGCAATTAAGGGGGAAGCTGATAGTGGGGATCAGTAGATATTGGAGTTGTGAGGAGTCCAGCGGGCTTGGGACAGTGCTCATGGTCTGTCAGCTGGTATCCGTAAAGGCTGTTCCAGCACAAGGCTAATGCTGAGACTCACACGCAGCCCTGACTCTGATCCAAAAACAGGACTGCCAGTGCTGGTTTCCTGGGAGTTACGGGGTACTGTGAGTTGCTCTGGCAATGAGACTGGGTCATCTTTTTCTAGTGAATTGTCTGGACCGGCATGTCCATGTAGCCCCAGACAAAGTGGCCTTAATCTGGGAGAAGGATGAACCAGGAGAGGAGGTACGGGTCACGTACAGGTCAGTATTTACCTCTGAGCATACGCAAGAGCCGTATTGCAGCATGCATGAACACTGCACGGGGCTGATCGACTGATGTGCGTCATGTGAGGGGATGTAGCATCCCTTTGGATAGATAATTCGACAGTATGGTGGCTGTTGGCTTGCCCGTGCTGATCTGAGACTTCAGCCTACCTTCTGATTAACCCTCTGCGTCCCAACGCGTCCCTACGCAGATGGGGAGGCAGACGCAAGCTCCTCGTGACAGCACTGCAATGTTTGTGGGTAAGATCCCATGGGAAAGTCACGTGTGTACGTTCCCAGCAGGGTGCCTGGTGTCTAAACTTGCAGGTAAATGCTCTGCAAGAGAGGCTGTATTCACAGCCGCGTGGGTGTTGCGAAGTGCCGTGCTCATCCACGTGTCAGCAACGCTGCTGGGTTTG